AACAAATGAGCAGTTTCTTACTAAGGGTATGCTACACTTAAAAACAACAGCCATAAAATTCCACATCCATTGAACATGCCTCTACAAGAATAATCAATATCTGCAAGCAAAATTCCTTCCTCTGTCTTCCCCATGCTCCATGTCCTCACATTCTGCAGGACCATTCTCTCATTCCTTTACCCCTCCACTTCTGCCTAATATTCCTGGCAGTGAATGACTGTTCCTACAGCCCCTTAAAAGAGGTATCTGAAACTAAACTAGACCTACCATCCTCTCTCAGATGGCCTCTGGGACAAGTTCAAAATACCATGAGGTGACCTGTTGCTTAACAAGAGCCGTACCACTCTCGGATAAACTGGAGAAGAATTGATTTCCTATGCTATAGCCAGTCTCCTGGCATAAACTCACCTCAATGGTGATGGAGTCCATCATGATGGAGCCCTCTTTACAGCTCTCCTCCTAGTAAGATCAACCCTTACAGCCAGCAGAGGAACAACTACAATGCAGTGTCCAAGCTCCAAGCTGCATCCCAGAGCCACAGCACACAACCCAGGATACAGCACAGCTTGCAGCAAGACCTTTCTTTGCAAGTTTCCACAAATGTTTAATAATACATTCCACAGATCTCCTAAATCAAGTATATTCTTATGGAGATATTCAGTCACCTGTTTCCACTATTGATCATCATGACAAATCACAGTAACAAGTTTAAAACAAGAGGAGGAACACCAAAATCAACCTCGTGATAAAGGTTTTGTCTGCATTTTCAATTTCAGAACTACTCACATGTCAGTCCCACTCCTGTCCCAAACATCCCTTAAGGCTCTGCTGCCTAGCCAGCCACTCTTTACCTTCCTTAATCACACACTCATAAAAACTTCATCCCCACACTTAACAGCATTTCCACAGTGCTTCTGTTTTCCAACTACCGTTTTCCGAAGCGTAGCTCTAAGTTAAACCTTTGTTTAATACTAAAGCCCTTTTCAAATATTTATGAAATATGAATATGAAATTAATTTAAATCCAGTTGGGGGAAGAACAAAAAGGATATTCAGTAAAGTACAGTAAAATACAACTCCAGACAAACAAAAGACACTGAATAAAGGTCTTTAAAAAAAAAAAAAATCAACCCAGAAATTCTTCCTGAAACTGAAAAAAGAAGTACAAGGATAAGAAATTTTGTATATTGGACAACTTGTGGTTGGATCACAGACAAAGGAGATCAGGGCCTTAATAACAACACTTCAACCCCAAGTATTTGCTTTCTGTCTACTGCTATAATACTCCATGAGATAACTTGCATAGGCAATTTTCCACAGATCTGTTATACAGAAGTGTACACTCTGAATAATGAGCTGACATATCAGAGGTTATTAACATCTCCCGGCAACAAAACCTCTCCTCAGAAACTGAGAAATCCCACAGGGCAAGCCTAGCTAACCAGGGGGGCATCTCACAGGAAAGCTAAACCCATGACCTATCTGAAGTACTTATCACAATAACATTCCTGTAAAAAATTCCATAGCACATGATTCCAACACAAGCTGTCCCCCAGAAAATGCTGGTAACGATGAAACAGATGAAAGACTACTGGTTAATTGAGTGTTTAAATTGGTCATTCTGCCTCCGACTTGTATCAAAAGACCTCCTTAAACGTCCAGGAGTAAAACTCACATAGATATTATGTCAGATTGGCTATGTTAGAATATTTATGTTTTAAGCAGTAATGATATGAATTAAAATCTCAGTAGCTAGAGGCGATGAATCTGATCTTTACTGCAGCTTCCACAGCAGATTAATTACATGAATTCAGTTAACATACACAAGGTTAAAGCTTCCATTACTCCAAAACACAACCTTGGAAAGTACTCCAAGCAGCCTCTTGATCTCCTCACGGTACTGGTATCAGCCCCAAGAGGACAGGACTGTTGGCAGTACTGATCTTAGACCTCAACCTGTACTGCCCAGGAGCCAAGAGACTGCCCAAATCAGTGCTCTCCCTCTGCAGGATGTGGTACTTCTCTGCTGTCCATGTGGAAGAGGCCGATGGGTCCCTGCTCCCGAGGGTTAGGAATGTGACAGAGGAATGCTGAGCTACCCCCTGCTCTTTCTTAGTGATTCCAGATGACAGCCCAGGTGCAGTTAGCAAGGAACAGAGGAGTAAAGTTTAGCTGCTGTGGGTTGCTATACCTGCTCTCCAAGGCTGTTCCCAGTGGGTCTGCTCTGAGTCTTGACCATAGTTTACCTGGTTTTTTGCACCTCCTCTATAAACTAATGAACTCTGCAAAGTGCCTCATTCACCATATACCTTGCTATGGTTAAACTTCATAGCAAGACAAATTGTTTCGGCGCTTTTGGAAAGAAGGTAGCTTGGCATGGGTTTCCCTAAATTCTAAATAAGTGCTTATCTTTTTTCCCTCCCAATTCTACAAATGCCAAGGTGCCTTTCTTGTGCCCCCCTTAAGACGACTGAATCCACAGGCACTTTTCACCACTGCTGCTTCTGCACAGCCACTAACTGGCCCAGGGAATATTCCTTCTACAACCACAGCAGTACCACAGTTGCCTTCAGCCAGCTTCCAGATAAAGAAAAAGCTCACCTTCCTTGCACAATGGACGGACATGTTCATTTTAAGAATTCATACTCAATTGTCATGTAAGCAACAACTCCAAGCAGAAGCTTTAGTCAGCTAACATGGAAAAAAAGATCCAGCTGTGGAAAGACTCCTCTTTCTATAGACAGAGAGACTCCTTCACTCCACCTTCAACAAATTACAAATTGGTGCCACTCTCAGAAGCACTGTACCCACCCAACTGTTCCCACAAAACAACCCTAGAACATCTGCATTTTTGTAGTACTGAGGTAATGAGTTTGACACACTCAGCTGAGTCTGCCACACCAAACAAGTTTCCTCTCCATCAGCACTGCAAGCTGCTCTTTTGCAGATCAGAACAGTCAGCTTCCCCAGATAAGGCAGCTCCTTCCTGGAAATGGAAGATAGAGCTGCTCTATCTCAGGAAAGGGAAGATAAAAGGTCACTCTTCACTAAGTGACAAAGTTCTCACCTTGAAAGCTTTGCCCCTTGATTGGCATGGAACAACCAAGGTCATGGAACTTTTAATCAGACGCCTGCATAATTACTAAATCGTTATTAATTATATCAGAGAGCCAAGACCGTAGAGGAAAGGCAAAGCAAACAAAGAGCCCAATGAAGCCTCCTCTGTTGTTGGAAAAAATTGGTAATTAAAAGTCATGAGTGCACCAAAGAGCTAGGGAACAGCATCACAGTCACTGTTCAGGACTCAGGAGTGACTTGCATACAAAACAGGAGGCTTGTCTCCCCAGGGAAATTACAGGGTACTGTGTTACAAAGCAGTGAGTAGGAAAAAAAAAAAAAAGGCAAAAAAAAAAAGGCAAAAAGGAGGTGGAGAAAGAACCGCTTCAGTTTTATCAATAGCTTTATTTGCCCCATAGAGAGGGAAAGCACTGCCAACCAGTCCCAGGTTTGAGGGGTGCCTTCCACATGTTTCTGGCAGCTCTAGAAAGCCTTCTACCAGCCTGATTGCACACTGAGAAGTGCACAAAAGAATGAGACCTTGT